TCTATTGGGCATTCGGACTCGGTGCTTTGACTATGTTTCACTTAACCGAGGTACATCCGACTGCGCTTCATAACAGTACTTTCTTCTGATATATTCACTCACAGCTGGCGATCATAATATCAGGGAATGACATACTCTTCTTGAATCCATCCAGGGGACATCTTCCAATGAAAGACCGTGCTGCTCTTAAGATGCCATTGAGCCACGTCAGAAAGTATGTTGCTTGCTTGCGTCTCTGACATGACTTGAATCTTCTTTCTAGATTATATCCTGACCATCTCACCCCCCTCGAAGGATTGTTTGGCTTCAATATCGTCGACACAGGTTCCTTTCCGGGAGTGCGTGAACTCTTTACGAGTTTTTAGTCATTGCTGACACGTCTTCCAGACAATATTCATGCTTCCGCTCAGGAAATCTTCTCACTACGAGGGTTTTGAATACGTGTCACCCGAGCCTTGGAACCCAGAGAAGGTTCGAAGGGAGATCATAGAAGATTTCAAGACTATCGCCGCTGACTGCCTTCTCTTTACTGAAATCGTGGGTATAAGTGCATCTTCCCGAAACGGAGGAGGTATCAGGGAGGAGTGGTCAATTAATGCTGCTCGTGAATCCCCCCTTTTGGAAGGGCAATTTCGATATGGAAAACTGACCATCTCCCACCTGCCCGCGACTGCTGTTCGCAACCCACGTACTTGGCAAGTTGCAACTCAAGCCGTTGCAGTAGATAGTCTGCCGCATGAGCTCTCCTCCGTACCAAAGCGGCAACCCATCATCGGACTTGCCGTGTCGTTGGATAACAACCATGAGCATGGAAGGGACTCGCATCGTTTTTTCTCGACTCTCCCACTGCCAACATCGACATCTCTTCCTGTCCATGTAACTGCATCGTTCGTTCTTTCTTCGGACAGGAGGAACATTCGGATCGATGGGTATGATACCCTCGAGACAAAGTACAACAAATGGTTACTTTCTACTGCTCTTCCACCTCTGTATCTCTTCCTCCTCGCAAAACTCTCCTGCATTGGAGATAATAAGCGCCATTGGCCGGGAAAGACAGTTGATGACAATATTTCTCAATTCATTACTTCAACCTTCTACTCGACTCATCTCAAGACTTGCAAGCTGCCGGTGTTCCGTAGTAAATTCTATCCATTTCCAGTCTATCCAGGTCAAGCCGTCATCTCTGGCAATGAACCCGAAGCTGTCACTCAGGTCCTCGAAATGATCAAGCCTCATGATATTGTCAAACTTTCGGCTCTTGTCCGCTCGCGAGTCATCAAGGATGCTGGTATATCGGCGGTCACACCACAATATGTCAAAGCCCAGATTCTTTCTGACTCTATCAAGTTCACATCTACGTTGAACGTGAAGGAGATCAGTAATGTGGTCCGCTTCCTGGTCCAGGATGGCGTCGAGGCTATTGTTGGCATAAAAATACTCCCCCTCGAAGACGGTACCTTTGGCACCTTTATGCCGAAATCGAATAGCACCTCGTACTATGTCTGGAAAAAGTCCTATGGGCCCCTTATCTTCCCGCCCAATCGCATTGTCAACTCTGAGTTCCACCCAAAAGACTTGCAAATTCTCAACTCGGACGTTGATCTGAACGTAGCCTCACTCAACTCCGCCAATCTCAGCTCACTCGCCAGAGAACTTTTACCAGGAGGTGAGGAGATGATGATCACAACGCAACCGCCACTGGACTTTATAACATCTTTTTGGGATGCATACCCCCGCCTTGGCATGAATGTGACAGACATTGACCTACTTCCGCTGGTCGCTACAATGGAAGCGGGCCGTTTTGTTTCACTCTCCTATTGTCGTTCAAAACCAGTAGTGCTCAGCAGTGATGATCTGTCTTTATCATGGCTTTGGGATCTTCTTCAGCAGCTTGGAATCTTGACCGTTCGAAAGGATCACCTGCCCAGGGCTTTAAGAGCCATCCTCCAAGGAAAGGATTATTCTACGTTCAATCTGAACAAGTTGCTCTCCATTATGGAGCCGTTTATTTCACAAGTTGTTGAGCGAATCCTGTCGCTTGACGAACAGGTGCAACATCAATTCGCATTATGGCTTAGGCTCAAGCTCTCCTATCAAAAACCTCCTCAAAATCTAATCAATGTCACACGTAGCCTTCCTATCTGGCCTGCAGCTTGCAAGAATCAGCCGGAGAGGCTTTGCGCCGCTTCGCAAGTTCTACAACTTCCTTCTCGGCTGACCTTGCAAGTAGCTCGTTTCATGAGAGTTCTGGTCTCTCAAGAGCCTACCCTCAAGCTGTTGAATGCCGAATCCATATCATATTTGCACCTAGATTCGAAGTTAGATTTGCCAGAGGTACTTGGAGTAAACGATGAGGAAACTTACAAGGCTCTGTTGACAGCATGGGTCAATGGATTGCCTGCGTCTGGCACACAACCGCTTCCTGTTCCCAACTGTAACCTCGTCGTACAGTTATCAAATACCCTCTACGCTCGCGACCCTCTCTTTGAGGCTGCTTTTGGACCAGGCTCTCCCTCATTCGTTCACAGCCGATTTCGTGACCTGGAGGTGGATCTTCATCGTCACGGCCTTCAACGTCAGAATAATCTCACCATGCCGATATTCGCCGATTGTGCACGCGCCTTGCAAAGCTCCCAGGACGACGCGGACAAGACAGCTCGAGCTGCAGTCGTGTTTGCCTCCTACAGCCAAGACCTTCCGCTTCACATTGGCTCAGCCCAACAACATCTATGGCATACCGTTGACAATATCCGATTCATACCTCGCAAGATGAACGTTATCCGAGAATTGCAATATGTGCAACACCTACCGGAGGTAGTATCACCAAACCAATTAGTTCGCGAGGAGTTCGAGCACATTGCTTGGTCTCAACGGGCCTTTTTCAATGAGCAGCCTGACCAACGTGTTTTACTTGCTTACCCAGGGCTTGGAAAACCAACTGTTTCGGACGTGGTGAGCTGATGTGTTTCCTGTTCTAACGCTGGCCGCTGATGAAAGCATCAATCAGGTCACCCATCTTCAAATACTCAGCAAGCTCACGGAAAGCGAGACCTTGTTGAGAGACGTGACAGAGACGTACAAATTTCTCAATGATAATGCAGAGGCTGCTCGAAACGTTGTCCTTCAACACCACGATGAGAAGATCTTCCTCAACGTCGATGACCCATCCAAAGATAAGTGGACGTGGGAGGCAGCTGATAATCTCGCGTTCAGTACCCATGACATTGAAGAGGTTCAGCGGGTCCGCCACTTCCTGACGCCCTTTAAGGATCTACTGCTCTCTGCAGGGGTTGTCCCAGTCTATCAACCTCCAGTAGCAGATGCTTCTCCGTTGACTTCGGACAGTGTGCTCCTTCTACAAATCAGGACCGGCTTTAACGAGATGCGCAAGGCGAAGCAGTTCATCGATGTCGTTTTCATTCCCTCCTCTGGACCCCAACTAGGGGAGGGCGAGATCGATCCTGAACTCGTTGCGCACCGGAACTTCCTGGCCGTCTACAGCGACTACTTCCGAGACGCTTTTTGTGGGGATTACAAAGAGGCACTCGCGGCATCATCGAGCGATCCTATAAGGTTTCCTGTAGATTATCCAAAGCCATGCATTGCAGCCGTTTTGGGTGAGCACCGTCGCATTCCTTTCTCTCATGATCGTTGCGTGTTCATGAATTCTTAGATTATATCTACTCCGGAACTTTCTTGCTTGCGGATCTGCCTGACGAAGAAACATTTCTAGCCTTGGATGATCTTTTGGATATCATGAAGCTTTCGGAATACTGGCGCCTTACGGGCCTGTTTGAAATCGTTCAGCGGGAAATTGCGACCAAGGGGCTCATTGACCCCACGACGCTGGCTCAAAGTACGTTCTCTTGCGATTGAACTCACCGTTCTATCGATTAACTTGCCGTTCCAGCTTCCGAAGTCGCGAGTTCCATTGGAGCGACATTATTGCTCAACTATTGCACGGAGTACCAAAGTCACAACGTGGAGTACATACGAAAGGTTAGGGGATAGAGTAGGTCTACCTGGGCCACAGCTAAGGATGATGTATTAAGATAAATGAATCCAGACGTAGTCAAGATCAACATCATGTTGCGTTCGGAGAAAGTCTACTCAGTTCAAGTTCATCGTCAAGTGTCATCGCCGCTTCGCATGGAGGTTTGCATGCCTCGGACACGGAGCAGTCTTTTCCTGTTGCGATCTCAGGCTTGCTGTTATTGTGTGCACTCCTCCTCAACCTCTTGTCGTTTTGAACGTCTGTCATCCCGTGACTAGCAACCACCCACGACCTTTGAAGTCGTTGTTTACTAAACGACGTACAAGCCGTTGGCACTGTCTGACTTAGCTGGAGATCGATCGTCCCTGGCCCTTTTGATGCCATCACATCTTATCAACCACGTGCTTCCTTGCCCCGCCTTGATGCATCCCTGTTGTTCTTTCTCTTTTTTCCCTACCCTTCTTCAGCGCGCTTTCCTGCTGGCGGCTCGGTCTCCGCTATCGACGTGGGCGTCGCAACTTTGACATGGGCGTCGCCCTTTTTTTTTTTGCCCGTGCCCTCTTGCTTTGATACCACTGTAAGTAGTCTGTCTGGAGTCTGTCTTCTCCTGGTCTTCTCCCTTGCGCCTGGTGCCTCCCCATCTCTTCGTTTGGTGGCTGGATCACCAACCTTGAATTTCCTGCCTGGACCCTTCTCCTCGTCGTCCAGCACCCTCAGCCTTTCTCGATGTTGAGTCTTTTCTCAACCAAGTGAGATGTAAGTCTGCCTCTTACCTTTCCTAAGTTTTATCTCCCCCCCCTCTTCGCACGACTTACATCCCTTAGGCTCATGACGAGAATGGTGCATGCATCCACTCTGCTATTCTCGCGCCCATCTTGTCCCTGGTGCTGTCAAGTGTATGCGATGTTTTGAACATTCGGTTGTCAAGGCATCAAATTCCGTGTTTTCCATCGCCTGAATTACGAGGGTATGCTGCCCTTTCTCAGCCTTTTCCGCCATCTGACTGGAGTTTCCCTCATCCAACAGGGCACCATGATGGCGCTTGACCTGCTTGCAGCTGTTGCTCTCTCGCGTCGTCTCTGCCATTGATGTGACCATCCCTTTGCCCATGCCCCTCGTGTTTTCTGCACCCCACATAGGTTGCTACCCCTTTGCCCTTGGCGGCGATATGTTGCCATATTCATTTTTCTCAATCTGTACGTGTCCCCTCTGCTCGCGTTTACGTTCTTCTGACTTTTTTACTTGCCATAACTGCTTTACAATCAATTGGCGGCGATTAGGTGCCATTTTCGTTTTTTTACTCTGTACATATCCCCTCTGCTTGCGCTCATGTACTGCTGACCTTTTTACTTTCCATAGGTTCGTTTGTAAGGTTAGTCTACATTGAAGCAGCGAACTATGCGAAACGCCCAGCGCTAGAAGTCAGCTTTGACTACTCAAGCCAACTTAGGATGACCCCACAATTGATGGCGAGACTATGCCCAAGATCTATCCTTCACTTACCCCGTTTCATAGACTCATATGGAAAGCAATGCGTTATCAACAATGAAGTTGCCCTGCTTGACCACGCCGCTGTTTACTCTTAAAACTAGTACGGTACATCATAAACATTGAATTCAGGTATTAGGATACGAGATATTTACTAATTGCAATCAAAGTATGAGATACAAGATGTATACGTTGCGTAATTCAAATGGTGAACATGCTCCTTACCGCCATTCCTGCTTCGCTGTCACCTGCTTCCAAGCTTTCGCACGCAGCCTGCAACTGATGTCGGGTACGACAGCGGATGGCTCAACAGGAACCAGCAACCCCAGACCCGTGGACGTGGTATTCATCAACAGCGGTGTGGTGTACCACCCGGCCTCCAAACCGCATCAGCCACGAGCGCACAAGTAGCGGACTACCACGCGTGAACACCGTGCAGCAGACTGACCCTGCAAACAACTCAAATATGTGTTCACGGAGGCACCAGACTACTCCACCTGGGTGGTGTCCCACCTCTAACAACCATGCGCGGGCTTCCTTCTTGATCAGAGTCAGATCTGAGGATGGGAGAAGGCGGGGAGGGGATGTGCAGAAGGAAGAATGCGAGTGAAATGATTTTGGTGGGGTTGAGCAGGTGCTTGTGATTAGTCGAGAGGAAGGGAAGGAGGAGGGAGAGGAAGGGGTGGGAGTGCTGCAAACGAGGAGTAGGCTTGAGGCTGCCCTGGAAAGACCTGTTTTTGCGGAAAGATGAGTTAATAAGAAAAAGAGATGGGAATGTAAGAGAACACACAAGATGGGGGGCATCATTTGGTTGGGATACCTCGAGGCAAGGCGGTCGTAAGCACTAAGTGATAATGAATAGCGTGAGCATATGGGTACTTAGCAGCTCGCTTGTCAGAGCCGTTAAACCACTTCTCGATCCGAGCGATAACCTCTAGGCGGGCTCCAGGATCACATCGAGCAACGTGACCCGCGAGAGTATGGGTGGCGTTGCTGACAGGCCTAAGCAGTTCCGGAAGACCTAAATGCCTTGATAGTATTGGAAAATTCATATATAACCTGACATACCTGTGGGAGGAGGGGACAGAGAACCATGAAGAACAACATCGCGGCCGGTGTTTATGACCTGTGCGCTTCCAGAGATGGAGGTTCCGATAGCGTTTGGCAGGAACGTGGTCGTCGTTGAAGTAAAATGATGCGTCGCTGCTCGCAATATGAATATCAGGAAGGTATGTACCTGCTGTAACAGTCACGGTGTTATCCGTCACACGCCCTCTCAGCAGCCACCAACGCCGACGGTGACCGGCATCCAAATCTCTTTCATCCGCCCTCAATTCTCCTCCAAGCACGTCTAGAAGGAACTTTTTAGCGCGATACAAAGGTTTCTAAACCGCAACGATCGTTTATCTCGGACGAAACGACGCGTTTTTGGTGACAGCTCGCGTGGATACCAAAACGTGTCCTCCTCGTTGAAGTCTCGGAGCAAGGGATTGATAAAATAAGGTGCGTGTTTGGATTATAGTTCGTAAGAGACGATGACGACTGATACGGGCGTACAGCATTATTTTACGAATTATAGGAGGACGCTACCTAGACGGTCTCTTTCGCTTTCACAGTCTCTGTTTTCGCTTTGGAGAACATCAAAAGCGAAATTCACATTACCCCCTCCTTCCGAAGGTCCCGCTTACGAAAATATAAACATGGACACCACAGTAACCGCTACGAACGGGCACCATCACGACCCACCGCAATCAGAATCACAAACACAACCGCTCTCTTTCGATACAGACATTTTCCGGACCTACTTGCTCGCCCTCTTACCACCCGTCATTGGTGCTCTGCCATCCGAGTTGGACTCGTTATTTGATGACGAGTTTGATGAGCGTGTTGCTAGGTTTGCGGCCGAGTCTGGGGGAGTGGTGTATATCGTTAAAGTGAAAGACGAGGTGGAAGGTATGTCATTTTATTCATATCTTCACATAAATAGATGTTCACGGAGAAACGATGCAGATGACGGAGGAACACTGACATACACGTACCACCTCACCCCACATCTAACTTACCACTCAACACACGTCACAACGCTCGCGCTCATAAAACGAACAACGCACCTCGACCCACTTGTACCGCTCTCTGCGCAGCTTCACTTTCTTAACCTTTTTGGCGGTGACGAGACGCCGTACGAATCTTTACACGCCGTGGTAAGCTGCGGAGTTAAGCCATGGTTCGACGCGTTTGTAGGAACCAGGGCAGGGGCTGGGAAAGACGCAGGAGGTGGAGGTGGAGGTGGAGAAGCCAAGTTGGGCATACCAATGACGAAGAAAAAGTTTGCCGAACTCGAGTTGAGTTTGTTGCATTTACAACAAAACGTGGAGATTCCGGAGACAAATTTGGTTGTTCATCCTGTGATTCAACGGGCTGTTGAGTTGGTGGGCTTCTCCCTCCTTCTGACGATGGCGTTCTTGCTGACTTGAATAAAGGCCCAATCGCAAGGCCAACGACCCAACATCTCTCACATCCCATCAAAGCTCCTCACCGACAGCACATTCCTCAACTCTCTCCACTCACACGTCAACGCATGGATCAAAGCCATCCAAGCAGTGACCAAGCTCACGAGAGACGTTTCCTCTGGCACGGCATCGCAAGAGATCAATTTCTGGTTGAGCCTTGAGAGGGCATTGGAGGGGATAGAGGCCCAGTTGAGGAGCGAGGAGGTGGGGATGGTCATGGATGCACTGAGGAATGCAAAGAGGTTTCATGCCACTGTTAGTTTTATTGCTGATACCGGGTTGAAGGATGCTACGGATCTCGGTGTGTCTCTCCCTCCTCCCTCTCTCAGTTCAAGGCTAAACGATGGGGACAGTGCACAAGTACAACCAGCTAATGAAAGACTTTCCACTCAACGACCTTCTCTCCTCCACAGACCTCGACAAAGTGCACGAATCGCTCACACTCATCTTCTCCCACCTAAACCGAAAACTCAAACTCTCTCCCTACCCAATCCGTCGAGCTCTTCCACTCGTTGAAGCAATATCACGAGATTTCAACGACGTTCTCCTCCGGATCCTAACATCCCACCGGCTAGCGTACACACCTTACCCCACCTTTGAACGTCTCCTCGCACAAACGACGGGGATATTCAGGACGTGGGATGATCTCATCAAAGAGTTTACGAACGTCGCGAGGGAGGTGACGAGGAAGAGGAGTGAGAAGTTTATTCCGATAAAGGTTGTTCCGGCACATGGGAAGCTTGTGGAACGGGTGAGGTATTTGAGGGAGTGGAGGAAGCAGCATGAGCAGTTGGCTGTTATGACGGGCCCGACGAGGGGGTTGGGGGTTGGCCTTGGGGGAGAAGGAGGTGTTGGAGGAGGGATGGATATGGAGGAGGAGGTTAAGGAGGCTTATGAGGTTGTCAAGCGGATTGATGTTTTGGACGTTAGTGTTGGTTAGTCCCTTTCTTTTCTCCCGCCCTTTTTTTACAGGCTGATGTGGGTACTCTAACGCAGAGGGCACCGAGATATGGGTAACAGCTGAAAACGCGTACAACGAGCGTGTGTCTCGCGTCGAGAACCAGATTATTGCCAGGCTCAGGGATAGGCTTGGCACGGCGCGCAATGCGAATGAGATGTTTAGGGTTTTCTCAAAGTTTAATGCGCTTTTCGTTAGGCCAAAGGTACGTGCTTTCTTTGCCTATTGTGATCTTTATTGCTGGACGATAACTCGTGTAGATTCGTGGTGCGATACAGGAGTACCAGACTCAACTTATTGATTCGGTAAAGGAGGACATCAAGCACTTGCACGACAAGGTTACCCTCTTTCCCCATCCACCTCCAACCACTGACCTACTTGACCAACCAGTTCAAAACCCAGTACCGCTTCTCTGAAGCCTACCACATGGCTCAAATGCGCGACCTACCCCCAATAGCAGGAGCCATCATCTGGGCCCGCCAAATCGAACGACAACTGCTCACATACATGAAACGCGTCGAAGACGTCCTCGGTAAAGGCTGGGAGCTCTACGCAGAAGGTCAAAAACTCCAATCCGAATCCTCGGCATTCCGCAAAAAACTGGACACCCGACCCGTATTCGATGCATGGCTGCACGACATCAACCGTCGGGACATGGGCGTTGGCGGGCGTTTATTCGAGATTGTTCGTTTGAGCCGAGGAGGGGGGTTCCAGTTGGCGGTTAATTTCGATCCGCAGATTATTACCCTCTTCAAGGAGGTCAGGAATTTGCTTTGGGCGGGCTTCCAAGTTCCGCATGCGATTACGAATATGGCGAAGGATGCGAAGAGGGTTTATCCGCATGCTGTTAGTTTGATGGAGACAGTGAGGACGTATGGACAGACGTTGGATTTGGTGGAGAAGAATAGGGGAATTGAGTGGTTGGTGGCGGAGTATAGGAATGAGTCGCAGAGGATGATTGGGAAAGGTGTGTTTTTTTCTTCTTCTGAGGCCTATGGAAGGGGCTGATGTCGGTGTAGGGATGAACATCCGCTGGGATCACTTTGTGAACCAGTATGATACGACGCGATATGTGTCTAGTGCGGATGGGAGGGATAATCGGCATATACAGTTCGTGAGGGAGTTTGCGAGCGTCATATCCGTTCTTCAGGTTGGTTCTTGTGTGTTTACCTTCCTCTAAGCTGCGCTGATGCCAATGGTCACTATAGGACAAAACAAACAACGTGATTGATCTGTACAAGGACATCCTCCGCGCAGTGGAAGACCTCTCAACGTGCTCGTATACATCTGAAGCGTTCTCAGAGTTGCTGGGCAAAGTGCAGGCTGCCGTACGTGCCCGTACCCCCCTTTTACTCCACTACGAAAAGGCTGACGGACTTGCAGATCGACCGCCTGAACCTGGAAGGATACGCGAACCTCGAACACTGGGTTGCAGAGCTAGACAAGCGGATTGAAGGGATCCTTCTCCAGCGGCTGACGCATATCATCCAAGTTTGGTGTGCCGAGTTTGATAGGGTGGATGATAGCGATACTCGGAGGGATTTGCTGCTTGTTAGGGATATTGCGAGTAAGAGGAGGGGGGATAAGCGGATGAAGGAGGAGAAGGTAGGTTTTCTTCTTCTTTTGTTGTGAGAAAGAACTGATGATTGGAGCGTAGTTCATGGAGGGACATATGACGCTGAAGCCTATCGTGCATGAGATCAGGATACAGAACCAAGTCATCTTTTTGGACCCACCTATAGAGTATGCGAGGTCTACGTGGATTAGGCAGTTGCATGATTGGCTTGGTGTGTGCTCTTCCTTGCTTGGGTATGAAGTTGGAGCTGAGCATGCTTGATAGGCGTTATCTGTAGGCTGAGGAGGATCCAGAGTTCTCGGTACGAGATTGGTCTGCAGATGCAGGGAGCGTCGTCTGCAGAGACGACGTACACGTCATTGGTACGGTCGAGGTTGTTATGTGTGCACTACACTTGTTCTGACATCCCTTTCAGTTGACCCGTTTCACGGACAACACCCTCGAACGCCCTTTCGCCCTAATAGAACATAAAGTCCAGCAACTTAAAGACTACGTCGGCAAATGGCTCCAATTCCAGTCTCTCTGGGATCTCGAGGCGGAATACGTGTTCAACCGCCTCGGAGACTCACTCGCGAACTGGCAGCAACTCCTAACGGAAATCAAGAAAGCGCGGTCGACGTTTGATACGTCTGATACCCAGAAATCGTTTGGGGTGTGCGTTATTGATTATGAACAGGTGCAGGCGAGGGTGAATGCGAAATATGACGCGTGGCAGAGGGATATATTGAGTCGGTTTGGAGTCAAGTTGGGGAATGCGATGAAGGAGATGCATGCCTCGATTTTGAAGGCCCGGAATGACCTTGAGCATCATTCGATAGAGGGGCTGATGGGTGGGGGAGGTCTTCCCGTGAGGAGGTTCTAGTCTTTTTTTCCACTTCTGATACCCCACTGGTATATATCACACGCAACTCTTATGACGCATCGCATATGTACTCTCCTCTTTTCATTATAATTGGAATAATCATACCTTATCCTTCTTATCGTCTGTGAACTTCGAGCGTCTGCCCAACCTTTCGCCCATGCAATCACAGCTCAATTCAAGTCATGAATCGCTACAAACTATCCCCTTCATGCCCAACTTGATGCATATATCTACAATCTTTGGGCTATCAAGCATTGATTGAATATTGATCAAGCAAGCCCGTTATTACAAGTTAAAACTTATTCTGGGTTGATGAAATAACATGACAGCGGATGGAGGGAGGCCTAGGAGAGCCCGGGGTGGATTGACGAGGGAGGCCTGGATGATTGATGAGCAAAAGGGAAGGGAAGGAGAAGACTATATAAGGAGGAAAGAAGTGTTGCACCATCATAAGAATCTTGCGATCGTTGAATAACTCACGGCATTACTTGCTATTACTTGGGAAACGCAGCTTAGACTAGTACCTAGCCAGACGTTCGTTCATCTCAACTCTCTCGACTCGCAAAATCAATATTCAATCCTAATTTAATCACAGTGACTCCAATTTAAACATCAAAAGCGGTACTCTCCCAACCCGTCTTCTTCTTCTCATGCTTGCTCTTATGATGCACGCTCCTCCTAAAGCTCGACAACTGCCTCTTCCCCTCCCTAACAGCACCCTTCACCTCTCCCAAAACCTCCTTCCCAGCAGCCCTCACTCGCCTCCCAGTATCCGCCTCAAACTCCCCAATATCAACCTCCATCTCCTCACCAGTCGCTCGCAGCTGCTCCTTAACCGACGTAGACCCAGTACCAAGCGGGCCCCTCTTCTCCCCACTCAGAATCTGAGGCTCAGCTCCCATCGCGAACTGCGCTTTCGCCTCCTCGCCCTCGCCCTCATGCCAATGCTCGAGCACCACACCCGTCCCTGTAGCGCGCAACCCCAACTCGTCCTCGTTCTCCCGCTGCAATCGACCCAACTCGCTCCAAAGAGCAGCAACCAATGAACTGCCCCCGCCCAACCCAGCATCCTCAAACACTTCCCGTCGCTGCGAAACGTCAAACGCAATCCCATCAACCCACTCCACCATCCCCTTCAACTGCTCCGTCATCGTCTTCTCCAACGCCTCGCGCAACCGCATCACCATGATGGGTTTAAACAGCGTCATCAACACGGCGTGGTTGCTTTCCTTCACCGAAATGTTCACATCTTCCGAGATCTTCACGGCCACATTCTCGACAACGTGGAAATGCTTCTTCGCGGTGCGTGATTCCTTGCCGGTAACGGTGCTGGGGATGAGCCGGACTTTGATGTCAACTTCGACGCCTTTGGCTGGAAGCTGGAGCGCGAGTAGGCCTGTGAGTTCTGAAGGCCCCAGGGTAGAGTTCTTGTCTTTGTACCAGAAAGAAACGTCGTGGAGCTTGAGTTGGAGAGCCTCGATGTGGACGTGAGTCAACGTGCCGACTTTCGTGTGGGAAGCGGCGGCGGCGGAGGTTTGAATGTCGACATCTGTGATGTTGCGAATGTACACGTGAGAAGGCAGGAGATTGAAGGACGAAATATCCAAGTTTTCTAGGACGAATTCAATCTCTGGATCTTTGTATTCGGTTCTAGTAAGGCAGTCGTTAGTACAAAATCAACACGAAAGAACGACAACATACCTTGGAATCGGAACATCCTTCATCTTGCTGAGCAGGTTCGGAATGTAAATCTTGAACAAATCCTGCCAGAACCAAGTAGCCTGATCCACAGCGGCCTTCAAGCCAGACTCCACCTCCTCGTCAGCCCTAGTCAACCCACTGGCCAAATCTTCGCCCAGTTTAGCCTGCGCATCAACCACGCGCTGCAAATCCTTATCCTCCTGCAATCCAAGCTCAATCTTATACAACTCCTCTTTGAGCTTCTTGACGTGCCCATGCCACTTCCAATCCTTCTCAAGGGCAGACTTCCAGCGCTCCTCCAACGCCTTGCGTGTTTTCTGCGCCTCCTCAGATCTCGCGTAACCAGGCTCCGCGAGAACCTTCCTTGCCCATCTGATGCTATCGTCCACCCACTCCTTCAATTCGGGGTTTTTGACGATAGAAAACACGCAAGTGCGCAAGGCGGCAATGACACCTTCGAGAGACGTGTTGTTCGCAAGACGTTCAACCAACGTACGAAGAAGTCTGAGTGCCTTAGGAATATGTTGTTCGGGCGTGGGATCGACAATAAATTTGGACAGAGTAGTGTTCGGGTCAGAGGCCGTCTCCATGGCTTGATTGAGTCGCTTTTGGAAGATACTGAACAAAGTGTCGAGCGCCTCCCTGTATTGTGGATCGGTCTGAGCCCGGTCAGACATCTAAAGACGGCGTGAGCAGAGTTAATATAACGGTTTGTGAGCCATCGTACCTTGTTCAACGCATCCTCGAGCCTAGAAGTCGTCTTCTCAGCCGTCTCCTGCAGACTGGCGCTAGCGGCCTGAGTAGCTCCAATGACTGACGTCCCAGCTCCCTTCACAGTGTCCATGCCATGCTGCCATGCGACCTTGGGATCCTTCTCCTCCTCAAGCCTCTGCTTGCTCCTCCCCAAAGTATCGCGTTCTCCCTCCTGAACGCCCTTCTCAACGCTGCGCAACGTGTCCTTCGCTGCACCTGCCTTTCCCTCAAGCGCCTCCGCAGCATCCGCAAGGGAGAGGCGCAAGATAGAGAGCAGTTCTTGAATGATAGAAGTACCTTCCATCGAAACATTGGTCCAAACAACCGAAATGAGGTTTTTGAGAGCAGCACGCATGGCTTTGACGTCTTCTTTGGTCTGATCGACTTCCTCCTCGACTTCCGCCGTGACGGTTAGATCGCCCTCTGTGAGGTGCCAGATCGCCTGCTGAAGAATATTGTCGGCTGAAGAAGAAATTCAGATATATGCGCAGAAATAAGAAAATAATGTACTAACAGTTCTTATCCTTCCCAAGCTGCTTATATGCGTCCAAAACACCGCGCAAATCATCCGCGAGGATCTGGCCTTGAGTGCTCAACTCGAGCGATTGCGAGGGTTCGAGACGCGCGATGCCGACGTCCTTCAGCCAGTCGATGAGCTGATTGGCTTGCTGGGTGGTTGGAAGTTTTCCCGCGTCGAGGGCGGCAAGTACTGATGATGATTTATCCATTGTTGTTCGTAGATTCAGAAAGAAATGTTTGCTTGGTATATTTGAAACACCTCTGGTTTTATAGGTCGTGGTTGCACCAATGACGCGATGACGTCGTCCGGACGTATGGTCATTCCACGACGTCGATCGATTGCTATTGACAAATGTGGTCAGCGATGACGCGCATCAGTGGGGAGGCGGAGTCGCAAAGAAGGAAATGCGTGGGAAAGTTTCCCGCCCCTCCAATAACGCAATATGATGTTGACTACATTTGGATTCATTTATCTTGATACATCATGCATCATGCTTAGTTGTAAATGGATGTGCCCTATACCTACTCTATCCTCTAACCTTTCGTATATACTCCGAGTTGTGACTTTCGTACTCCCTGCAATAGTCAAGCAATAATGTCGCACCAATTGAACTTGCGACTTCGGAAGCTAGTTGAAGGGTCAATTAATCGACAGAACGTTGGGATCAATCACGAGAGAACGTACTTTGAGTCAGCGTCGTAGGGTCGATGAGTCCCTTGGTTGCAATTTCCCGCTGAACGAGTTCAAACAGGCCCGTAAGGTGCCAGTACCCCGAAAGCTTCATAATATCCATAAGATCATCCAAACCTAGTGATGTTTCCTCGTCAGGCAGACCCGCGACCACGAAAGTTCCAGAGTAGATATAATCTAAGATTTCATAAACACGCAACGATCATGACAGAAAGGAATGAGAGGGTGCTCACCCAGTACAGCTGCGATGCATGGCTTTGAATGATCTACAGGAAACCTTATAGGATCGCTTGACGATGCCGCGAGCGCTTCCTTGTAATCCCCACAAAAAGCGTCGCGGAAGTAGTCGCTGTAGACGGCCAGGAAGTTCCGGTGCGCAACGAGTTCAAGATCGATCTCGCCCTCCCCTAGTTGGGATCCAGAGGAGGGAACGAAAACGACATCAATGAACTGCCTCGCCTTGCGCATCTCGTTGAAGCCGGTCCTGATCTGTAGAAGGAGCACACTGTCCGAAGTTGACGGAGAAGCATCTCCTACTGGGGGATGATAGACTGGGACAACCCCTGCAGAGAGCAGTAGATTCTTGAACGGCGTCAAGAAGTGGCGGACTCGCTGAACCTCTTCAATGTCACGGGTACTAAACGCGAGATTATCAGCTGCCTCCCACGTCCACTCATCTCTGGATGTGTCATCGACGTTGAGGAAGATCTTCTCATCGTGGTGTTGAATGATGACGTTTCGAGCAGCCTCTGCATTGTCGTTGAGGAATGTATATGTTGCTGTCACGTCTCTCAACAAAGTGTCGCTTCGGGAGAACTTGCTGAGTATTCGAAGATGCATGACCTGATTGATGCTTTCGTCAGCGACCAGGGTTGGAACAGGAAACACATCAGCTCACCACGTCCGAAACAGTTGGTTTCCCAAGCCCTGGGTAAGCAAGTAAAACACGTTGGTCAGGCTGCTCATTGAAAAAAGCCCGTTGAGTCCAAGCAATATGCTCAAACTCCTCGCGAACTAATTCGTTCGGTGATACTACTTCTGGTAGATGTTGCACATATTGCAATTCCCAGGCGACGTTCATCTTGCGAGGTATAAATCGGATGTTGTCAACGGTATGCCATAGATGTCGTTGAGCTGAGCCAACGTGAAGAGGAAGGTCTTCGCTATAGGAGGCGAACACGACCGCGGCTCGAGCTGTCTTGTCTGCGTCGGCCGGGTAGCGTTGCAAAGCGCGTGCACAAACGGCGAATACCGTCATCGTGAGACTACTTTGACGTTGAAGGCCGTGACGGTAGAGGTGTTCCTCCAGGTCTTGAAACCGACTGTGAACGAATGAGGGAGAGTTTGGTCCAAAAGCAGCCTCGAAGAGAGGGTCACGAGCGTAGAGGGAGTTGGATAAACGCATGACGAGGTTGCAATTTGGAACTTGAAGTGGTTGCACATCAGACGCTGGCAACCCATTCACCCATGCCCTCAAGAGAGCCTTGTAACTTCGTTTATCGTTTTCCACAAGTACCCTTGGCAAATCTAACACCGAATGTAGGTCCGAAAATGATATGGGTTCGACGTTCAGAGACTTGAGGGCGAGCTCTGGAGAGACCAGGACTCTCATGAAACGAGCTACCTTTAAGGTCAGCCCAGAAGGAAGCTGAAGAACCTGCGAAGCGGCGCATAGCCTCTCCGGCTGATTCTGGCAAGCTGCAGGCCAAATTGGAAGGCTGCGTGCAACATCGATTAGATCTGGGCGAAGTTCTGAAGAAGAAAGCTTGTGCCTGAACCAGGATGCAAATTGATGTTGCACTTGTTCGTCAAGGGACTGGATTTGCTCGACAATTTGCGAGATAGACGGTTCCATAATGGACAGCAACATGCTCAAGTTGAATGTGGGATAATCCTTTCCTTCGAGGATGCCTTTCAACGCCCTTGGCAAGTGATCCTTTCGAACTGTCAAAATTCTTAGCTGTTGGAGAAGGTCCCAAAGCCATTCGGATGATGGTTCAGCCTCATTACTGAGCACTACCGAATTTGTACGGCAGTACGAGAGCGAGACAAAATGCCCTGCCTCCATCGTAGCAACCAGCGGAAGTAGTTCAATGTCCTTCTCATTCATGCTAAGGAGGAAGTACGTAGCCCAGAACGATTTTATCCAGTCCAGCAGGGGGGGCGTTGTGATCGTCATTTCCTCACTTTCTGGTAAAAATTCCCTGGTGAGCGTGCTGACATTCAAGGAGTCAAGTGAGGCTATGTTCAGATCGACATCGAGAATCTGCAAGCCTTCCGCGTCAAACTCAGAGCTGACAATGCGATTGGGTGGAAAGATCAGGGTCCCATAAGATTTTTTCCAAACGTAGTATGACGTGTTGTTCAATTTCGGCATGAAGGTGCCAAAGGTACCATCCTGAAGAGGAAGTATGTTCAGGTCAACAACCGCCCCAACACCATCTCTAACCAGAAACCGGACCAGATTGCTAAGGGCCGTCACGTTCAACGTGGAGGTGAGAATGGTAGGGTCGGAAAGAATCTGTGTTCTGAGATACTGTGGCGTAACTGCTGACATACCAGCATCCTGGATGACTCGCCAGCGGACAGGAGACGAGAGTTTAACGATGTTATGGGGTTTCATCAAGTCAAGTGCGGTGGAAACAGCTTCGAGTTCATTGCCAGATATGACAGCTTGCTCTGGATAAACCGGAAATGGATGGAATTCACTGCGGAACACGGGCAATTTGGAGGACTTGAGATGAATCGAGTAGAAAGTTGACGTGACGAGCCGAGAAATACTATCGTCAGTTGTGTTTCCTGGCCAAAGATGCCCATTATCTCCAAAACAAGATAGTTTCGCGAGGAGGAAAAGGTATAGCGGTGGAAGAATGGTGGAAAGCAACCACTTGTTGTACTTCGTTTCAAGGTTATCAAACTCATCGAGCCGAATGTTCCTCCTGTCCGAGGAAAGAACAAAGGATGCAGTTACGTGGACGGGAAGAGACGTCGATACTGGCAGTGGGAGAGTTGAGAAAAAACGATGTGACCCTCTGCTATGCTCGTTTTTGTTTTCCGAAGACGCGGCAAGTCCGACCATGGGTTGCCGCTTTGATACAGAGGAGAGATCATGCGACAAGGTATCTATTGCAACAGCTTGAGTTGCAATTTGCCAGGTACGTGAATTGTGATGAGCGGTCGCAGGCAAGTGGGAAATGGTGAGTTTTCTATATCGGAATTTCCCTTCCAAAAGAGGGGATTCACGAGCAGCATTTAATGTCCACTCCTCCCTGATGCCTCCTCTGTTTCGAGAAGAGGCACTTATACTCACAATTTCGGTAAACAGAAGGCAGTCAGCGGCGATACTCTCGAAATCTTCCAGGATCTCCCTTCGGACCATCTCAGGGGTCCAAGGCTCGTCTGACACGTGTTCAAAACCTTCGTAGTGAGAAGATTGTCTGAGCGGAAGCATGAATATTGTCTGGAAGACATGTCAGCATTGACCGAAAACCCGTATTGAGTTCACGCACTCCCTGGAAGGAACCCGTGTCGATCATATTGAAGCCAAAGACGCCTTCGAGTGCAGTAAGGTGGTCGGGATAGAATCTGAAAAGAGGACTCAAATAATGTCTGAGACGCAAGCAAGAAACTTACTCTCTAATGTGGCTCAATGGCATCCTAAGAGCAGCACGGTCCTTGAACGGAAGATGCTCCCTGGATGGATTCAAAAAGAGTATGTCATTCCTCGATATTATGATCGCCAGCTGTTAGTGAATATAGTCAGAAAGTAGATTAAAATGTACCTCGGTTAAATGAAACATAGTCAAGGCACCAAGTCCGAACTGGCCAATGGTATCACTTCTATTTTTCTTTCCCCCGACGTTGGTGCGGCAGATCCCCTCGAAATCCTTCTCCGAGAAGGTGGAGTCATTGTAAATCAGAAGCGAGGGGCAATCATAGAATTTTGCCATTGATGTAGACAAAAGTTTCGTGGTGGAACCATGAAAGTCATTCAGTAATACCGAGAAAACGGTCGCTTTGGCGTCCAAGCATTTGCGATAAATTCGGGGAGGAGCTGTTTCTTTGTGTATTGTCCAAGCGTCCTGGACACTGTTGTGATGGGCTTCTCTCCCATGTCCTCGCCTGGCGTCTGTAGATGAACGAACTTAAGACCCAGCCGCCCCATCTTTAAATCCCTGCAGAAGGATTCATCCATTCGTGGATGAGCATGGAACATACCGTCACCAGCGCTGACAAGAATTGAGCGGTCGCCAATGTCGTTGAAGTACACACTGGCTACTGGTTGCAGGACCATGTTGATATCGGGAACAAAAATCTTGCTATGTTGCTCGTCGTCCAGATTGGGAGGCAGGGCTTTCAAGAGGCTGATTGATGATGATACCGTCTGCTCCGTTATCGACTGTCCGCGCAGAGCATCCAGTTTCTTGATAATAGCACCTGCAGATGGCCTAGTGGACGCAATAGTCAATAGCAACTCCAAGAACGAAAGAGTATAACTTACTCGTCAGAACACCCCATCATTCGCAGAAAATCCTTAACCTCTTTACGATCCGAAAGTGTAGCAGATATCTTGTAGAACGCCTTTTCGATGGGCTGCGATATGACTGCGTCAGCAGTCGAGATGAGAACATTGGAGTCGCCAGATTGAGGAATCCAACCCCGATTGGAGATGACCTTTCGCAAAGCATCGAGACCATTGACAGTCAACGTCCGTTTGCTGAGCTCCCTTATGATAGGAGCGACCTTTCCAGTCATGTTCTTCGTGAGAACTCGATCAAGCTGTTTCACCAAGATGTCAAACGAAATGGGTCGATCCCATCCAAGAGCAAGTCGAAGAGAGGCTGAGACCGTGATTTCGTCTTCAAGGACATGAAGAACTTGATCAAAGAGGCTCGACTCCTTCTCCGAGGTGGGACGTGGACGACACTCAGAGGAGTTCAATAAGCCCTGAGCGGTGGGAAGCCAACGAGCCTGTGGGTCAAAATCGACGGATTGACAATTGAAATTGGAACTCCTCAAGACTTTGAGGAGGGCTTTGGCAACGGGGGGCGCTGTATGTTGCGAGACATATTGTATCCTATCCTTGATGATGACTCCCGTCAACGAGGACTGGAGGAGACCTAAAGAAGCGAGGTACTCGACGATCAGTTTTTCTACGTTGTTCGACCTGCGAGCTAATCTGTCGTTACTCTCGGGGAAGAGAGCCACCAAAGATGACGAGGGGTCAATTACATCGGCAGGAGCATATGTCGTACCATCGATGGTGTAAACAAAGGATCTCTGTCGCAACTGTTCCAAGATGGATGGTTTCGTAGACTGTTGGTGGTCAATGATATGTTTGAGGATCGTCGCCTGCAAGCGTTGAGGTTGCTGAGCCAAGTGTTCGGCAGCGAGGGGAAGCAATTGGTCATGCTTCATTGGTTCAGGTTGGTCAGGTTCCAGGTAGGGAAGGATCTCACGTGGGTCATTGCTGAGGTCGATGTAGACAGTATGGGCAATTCTAGGGAGGATGGCCCGGAAGCTAGTGGCGACAATCCCTCGAACGGTTGAGCCAATGGGGATGTGGGTCCGTTGAGCCTTGATATTGTGACCATCTGTGGTTACGAGACAGAACACTGGTAAGCTACGAAGCGTGCTCTGCATTTCTCCGCTGAGGCGGTCATTAGACGAACATGAGGCTGGCAGGCACGAAGCGATGTGATTAAGCAGACGTTGCGCTTTAGTCTCATCCAAAGTGAGTGCCTCATATGAGCAAGAAGAAAGGTTTTCGAGAAGAGCGTGAATGTCGTTGATCTTCTTCAACAATCCGCACTTGGCTAGTACATTTTGTGCTGGAACGGCACACGCCGAGTGCAGAAATGGTATGCCGAACATCATAAGATCTTGTACCAGATCCAAGTGCTCATCATCTATCTGAAACACGGGACGTTCGGCCGTCTTCAAGCCAGCTGTGCACGGCAGAAGGTACACCTTGTGAAGCTTGGGGAAGAGCTCGTCCTTCAAAGAAGATTCGTTGAACCAAATCCAGAAAGCTGATAACCATTCTACAGCGGCATCGGTTTCGACGGTCGATAAATGGAGCCCCAGCCGGTTAGGATGAAGGTCAAGGTACTTGATGACATTTTCAGAGGTAAGGCATTCAACGTTAACATGAGACGGGCCATGTTCCCGCAAAAGTTCAGCCACCGCTTTCGGAAGGTCGGCAAGTGCAATGGCATTGTCTTCGCATGCCTTGAACATGACGTACTCCGAGCGTTCAAGTAAAGTATGCCTTGTGGAAGGTCTCGAGCGCGTGGGGACAAGAGCGACCTTTCGACCGCCAACAAGAGGGATGATGGGGAGGTTCACAACATTGT